GTGTGTGTGTGTGTGAGTGTGTGTGTGTGTGTATTCATGCAGATGTGTTCATGCATGTGGAGGCCAGCTATCAAAGTCCAATGTCTTCCTCGATTGTTTCTCTACTTTGTTTTTTTGAGATAGAACCTCTCATTGAGTCTGGAGATCACTGATTGGCTTGGCTATCTTGTCACCAAACTCCAGGGATCTTCTGTTCCCCACCCAGAGCCTGCCCCACTCCAGCCTGGTTTATTACATGGGGGGATTCAAACTCAGGTCGTTGAGTAACCAGCTTTTTATTGGCTGAGACATCCCTCCAGGCTCTACCTGCTTGTTGCAGCCTCCTCTCACTCTGCCCCAGGTTGGGACAAATTGGACTTCCTAAACTGCCCACACGTATGGTCACTTGGTCCGGCACAGGACCTGGCACCTGTCTTTTCAAAGTGTTCCCAACACTGTACTCCAATTGAAGACCCTGGCCACCATCTTCCTTACCAGAGGCTCTCTGGGTAAGACCTCTCTAGGGTTCAGCAGGCTAAGGGGCTTGTTACACACAACTTCTCTGTCTTGACCAGGACCTATGGAATTGGAGCCTCTGAGAGGACTCCATGGTTCTCCAGGGGACTCCGATGCCATCAGGTGTGAGAGGCATGGTTCATGATGGCTCTCAGGTTGTCCTTCCCCAGATTAGTTACACAGCAGGACTCTGTACAGTCAACCTAATTCTTCTGGGTTTATCCCCCTGGGAAGTGGAGGTGTCACTGAGTTGTGTTTATAAAAAGCAAATGACCAAAAGCTAGGAGAGCCTTAGCCCTTAGCAGTGACTCAGGCTACACAAAGAAATCAGCTTCTACCTCCATTAGACACCCCCTGATTACCTCAATCTCATTGTCCCCTGCTGGGGAGGGGTCACTACTCCTCTTTGACCGGCCTCGTAGCTTCCCATCTGAGGCCCGATGGGGCCTCTCTGTGTCGCCCTCTTTTGCTGGTGTGGAAGGCCCGTTGTGTGTGTTGTAGTCACCTGGGAAACAACAGGGGATGATACACAGGTCAGAAACTTATTCAGGTGTCTCTTCCTGGAAAATGTTGCACCAACCTCATCACCATGCAACCAGATAGGACACCCTGGAGAAAGCCCCAGAGGCCAAGATCATAAGATTAAACAGCTGGTCACTGCTATCTGCTGTGGAACAATCTTGTACACTGTGAATATTTGTTGCTCTCATTGGTCCAATAAAGGGCTGAATGGCCAATAGCTGGTCAGGTAGAGGTTAGGCGGGACTTGTAGACAAAAAGAGAGCACAGGGAAGAAGAAAGGTGGGGTCTCCAGGAGATGCAGAGGGAGCAAGACATGCTGGAGAACAGGTAAAGCCACAAGTCATGCGGCAATATGTAGATTAATAGAAATGGGCTAATTTAAGTTGAAAGAGCTAGTTAGTAATAAGCCTAAGCTATGGCCAAGCTTTATAATGAATAAGAAGTCTCCATGTGGTTATTTGGGAGCTGGCTGCCAAGACTGACTATAGCCATCTGTACTATTTGTGACCTTCTGCCAACCAATAGATATCTATGAGACAGGCTCTTTTTCAGGTTCTGGGCCCCGTCTAGAGGCTTAAGCATTCAAAAACTGCAGCAAAGGCTGGGGGTACAACTCAGCTGGTAAGACACCTGCCTTGTAGGCATGAGGACCCAGGTTTGATTCTAGAGGGTGATTCCAGTGCTAGGGAGACAGAGATTGGTAGAGCCTTAGACATGGCTGGCCAGCTACTCTAGCTTAGTGAGCTCTAGGCCAATGAGAGACTTTGTCACAAAGGAGGTAGAGGGTGACATTTGGAGGGTGACACCTGAGACTGTCATCTGGTTTCTACACACAGATTCATGAGGAGTGTTGGGTGGTGGCAGGGGTGTTACATGAGAGGTCTGTAGGGAAGGCTTCCTGAGTGAGGGGTATCTGCTCGAAGGCCTGGAAGAAGCAAAGGAGGGCTGCTATGACTACAGTGAACAGCCCATGCCGATGGCTTCTGTCTGCTAAGCAGACAGAAGGATGAAAATGCATGCCCACACAGAGATGTCTTCCAGCACTTCTACCCCAGGTTCATGCTTTGGTGGCTTGAACTCCGGAGTGGCAATGGTGGGACTTTTCGAAGGTGGAGCCTTGTGGGAGGTGCTCAGATTAACTGGGGACACACTCTGAAAGGTTCTGGGTCCCCCCAGAGCTGTGAGCTAGATAAACCTCTCTTTTATAAAGTTTGCCAGTTGCTGGGCTTGCATCATGACAATGTAGTTTTAAGTCAGGACCCAGAGACACATGGGTATGTGTGGCTTCATGAGGGGGCTGAACCTGCCTGGGGTCCCTACAAATTAATGGCAAGATTTGGGCCTATTCTCGTGAGTATAGCATCAGAACTGCGAACCCTCTTAGGCCCTCAGAGGACACCCCATTCCATTTCCTCACACCTTGATAGCTGGTTTTAGCTTCTAAATGTGTCCTGCAAATGGCAGCTCTTCAACAGCTCTCAGGTCACCTTGAGAGGGAGGGCCGGCTTTTTCTAAATGTATTTGAGAATGAGCTGAGTTCTTTCTCCTATCCTGGAAAGACCATTTTCCTTCAAAACCCAAGGGATTCAACTTTGTTAATATTTATACAGCTCCTTGGCAGACTAAGGGACACAATGGAAAAGCAGTGACATGAGATGTCAGGACAGTGGACACTTTCCCACCAGCCAGCATTTTTGTGGCACAGCACTGGGCACTCCCAGCACCGAGTCAGAAACAACTTTCTTCAGGAGGAAGAATTCTTTCTCGGCTCAGATACTTGATTGAAGTAGTACAAGTGACATTTTAGCTGGTCCTCATGGTACAGATGCAATTTCAGCTACTTGAGAAGCTGAGGTAGGAGGCTCAAAAGTTCAAGACTGTCCCAAGCTACGGAGTGGGTTCAAGGTCAGCAACGCAGTGAGATTTTGTCTTAAAACAAAAAGCGGAAAAGAGGGCTGGGGCCATAACTCAGTGGTAGAGCACTGGCCTAGCACGCCCAAGTCCCAAGCTTTCCCTTCCCCTCCTCACTCCTGAAGATTAGTAGACACCTTCCCTGTAATACTGTCTTGTGGGTGTCTATACTATCTTTGTTGTAATGTTGTCTTGCGGGTGTCTGCAGATCTTTTGAAGCTGTGTGGTTTTAGTGTGGTCTGTTAAAACAAAACCAGCACTGATGTGGGGATTTTAAAAATACAAGTATATTCTTTAAAAAAAATATATTTGTGTGTGTGTGTGTGTGTGTGTGTGTGTGTGTGTGTGTATGCCTGTATATGCACATGAGTGCAGGTTCCCTTTGAGACCAGAAGGTGGCGCTGGATCCCTGAAGCTTGAGTTTCACTTTGTTGTGAGTCACCCAAAATGGGTGCTGGGAACTGAACTTGTGCCCACTTGACTGCGGAGTCATGCATCTCTGCAGCTCCACAGGGTTCTAGAGGCTGGGAAGGTCAAGGTGAAGATGCTAGCTGGTCTGGTTCCTGGTGAAGTCACTGGGCTTGTCACTGGGTAGATTTTTGCCGTATCTTCCATGGGAGAGAGAGATCTGCTCTCTTACCTGTTCTTACAGAGACATCAACCCCATTCCTAAGGGCTCATCCTCATGACTCAATCACCCGCTAAAGCCCCATCTCCAAGCACTGCTCACTGAAAACGAGGGAGCTGACAGGCGACTTCTGTCAGGAATAAACATCCAGGTGGCAGAAGTAGCTGAGGTGAATGAAGCTCTCTCTCTCTCTCTCTCTCTCTCTCTCTCTCTCTCTCTCTCCCTCCTGGTTTGCAGGTTTCGGAAGTGTGAAGTACTTCTGCACCCTTTGACTTTCAAATACTGTAAATTGTATCAATTGAATTCAAATTTTAAGCCAATCTTTGCATCCTTAGGCTAAAACCTCAGTGGATAAAAGCTTAGGCTTGGCTTACTATGTTTTCTTTAGAAAAATCTCTGTTTATGAAGTGTGTGGCCTGGGGTTTGCTTATTGTGTCCTTGTCCAGCTTTGGCATTGATCTAGCGATGCCCTCAGAGGGTGCCTTAGGAAGTGTGGTTTTAATTTTTCTTAGAAATTTGTATAGAATCCGTAGTTCTTATTAAAACTTTCAGTAGGATTGACTAGCAAAGTCATCCGGGGCTGGTGTTTTCTTTGTGGTTTCTGTTTTCCTTTGAGACAGGGTCTCCCATAGCCCAAGCTGGAACAGACTTCTCTATGTAGCCGAGGATGACTTTGAACTCCTGATTTTCCAGCCTCCTGCTCGCCAGCACTGAGATTACAGGTGTGTACCACCATGCCTGGTCCTGGTATGGAACCCAGCACTTCATGTACTCCAGGCATGCACTTTACCAACAGAATCACACCCCCAGCTCTGCTTTTTGATCTTCAGCAACAACAACAATAATAAAAAATTAGTTTGTTTACTGGGTACACGCCTGTGTAGGGAATCTCTTTCTTCTTGTGTTAGCCGGGTAGTTTCTAGCTTACACAGAATCCACATTTGATCTAAGTTGTCAGCTCAGGCACAGTCATGGTAATGATGTCCCCTCTCTCCTTTATGGTATTTTATGCCCACCTTCTTTATTCTGTTTTCTGCCTTCATTGATTTCCCCTCTGGTCTCTTATTCCCGTGCCCCTGCTTACTTTGGGCTTAATTTGTCTCTTAAGATAGGTGAGGGCTTGGAGCTGCTAAGATGGCTCAGTGATTGAGAGCACTGGCTGCTCTTCCAGAGGACTGGGGTTCAATTCCCAGCACCCACACAGTGCTCACAAACATCTGTAATTCCTGGTATAGGGTATCTCATGCGCCCTCTGGCTTCCATGGGTACTGCACATATGTGGTATACATACATCTAAAGGCAGACAAACACTTGTATGCACAAAATAAAAATGAATACATATTTTTTTTAAAAAAATTAAAAAAATGAGATAATGTTTGTAATGCCCTTTCTTCTTTGCTTTTCCCCCAACAAAATGTTTTTATTAATTATTTGGGAATTTCATACATTGCGCCCTGATCACACTTACTTCCCCTTCCTTTCAGGTCCACCCTTCTATCCTTGTGCCACCCCCAAAAAAAGGTCAAACAAATACCAAGTCCAATTTGTGTTGCAACTCCCTTTAATGTCTTCCCCACTCCCACCCTTCACCAGAGCCACCAACCATGAAGAACTACACTTCAGAACCTTTATCACAGTTTTAAAAGGACTTCTTCAATAGCTTCCTGTCTAGACTGTTTCTTTTTTGAAGGTTGGGGGGGAGGTAGTCACAGAAGCCTTCAGGGTCTCTCATGCTCAGCTATGAGTCTGAAGTCAATACAATACAACTGCAAAAGAAGCTTCCTTGACCATAGCAGCAGGCGGCAGCACAGATGGTGGATTTCTACATGGTTTCCAGCTGTGGCACCTCACATGGCCTCCAGACACAGCACAGAACACGGACATCAGCATGGCCTCCAGCCACAGCACAGGCCACGGACATCAGCACGGCCTCCAGACACAGCACAGAACACGGACATCAGCATGGCCTCCAGCCACAGCACAGGACACAGACATCAGCATGGCCTCCAGACCCAGCACAGGCCACGGACATCAGCATGGCTCCCAGCCACAGCACAGGCCACGGACATCAGCCGGGCCCCCAGCCACAGCACAGGCCACGGACATCAGCCGGGCCCCCAGCCACAGCACAGGCCACGGACATCAGCCGGGCCCCCAGCCACAGCACAGGCCACGGACATCAGCCGGGCCCCCAGCCACAGCACAGGCCACGGACATCAGCCGGGCCCCCAGCCACAGCACAGGCCACGGACATCAGCCGGGCCCCCAGCCACAGCACAGGCCACGGACATCAGCCGGGCCCCCAGCCACAGCACAGGCCACGGACATCAGCCGGGCCCCCAGCCACAGCACAGGCCACGGACATCAGCCGGGCCCCCAGCCACAGCACAGGCCACGGACATCAGCCGGGCCCCCAGCCACAGCACAGGCCACGGACATCAGCC